GCGGTGCGGCCGCTCCGCCGTGCCGAGCTCTTTTTTCTCGGGGGGGCCGGGACGGGGGTATTTCTGGAGTCCCGCAGCGCGCCGTTGTGTGCTCGGGGACCAGGGAAGAGCGCAGGGATAGACAGGCTCCTCCGGCATTCCCTGCTGGGATCCTGCCCTGCTCCTGCGTCACAGGCGGCTGGGCAGTATCTCACCGAGCAGGAGGTTTGGGGACCCTTCCAAAAGCATGAGCTCGAACTCGGGAAGACCTTTGTGTCAGGACAAATTCCAGGCTAAGGCTAGGCCAGGCAAGGGGCAGTTCATGCTCCCCTCTGAACGAGGAAGAGCCGGACAGGGAGAGCAGAGGCAGGATGAATGTGAGAGCAGCTTCTCTGCTCAGCCAAAAGAACTTGTGCCACGGCCCAGGGAAGGCCATGGGGCTGGAAGGGATTTACCTAGCAAGGCTGAGTGAAACCCCCAGCAACAGGCTGCCACAAGGCCTCTGCTGTTCACTGCCTGGGGAGACCCCACAGGGAGGGCAAGTCTGCCAGGAAGAAGAACAGACAACCCAGTTGGCATTTCAAGACTTTACTGAAGAAAGGGACTTGAAAATAAGCTAAAAAAAACCACCACCCCACATCAGGGAAGTGCAAGCTTTGCAACCAGGGGCATACTAAGGAGTAGCATAACTTTCACTCTGGGCCAGCATGCTCCCAGGAGGGCCTGCGATGCCACTTGCAGCATGCTCATGCCAAGTGGGATGGTGCTGAGACTGCAGGGTACAAGCTGTGCTGCAGCCTCTTCAGAGAGGCCCAAGGCCAGCAGGTCCCCGGGGTTCTCCCAGCTCTGCCATTACTCGGCTATGGGTTTCACTTCCTTGGCTGCTTCCAGATGCATCAGAATTTCATTCCACTGGACAAACTGCTTGGAAAGAAGCAGGGTCTGAACATGACTTTTAAGGAAAGAGATGTGAAAACTTCAGAGAAGAAACCAAGGCCAAAGTGCCCCAACAGCACCATAACAATCCCAGTTTCTTGGGAGAGGAAGAGGCCTAGGGCACCAGACTGTACAAAGCCTGCATGGACTCAGATCATCCAGGGACTGAGCCACTGTCCATGAAATTGCACTGCATTTCAAGGGGCTTTCTGCAGAAAAGAGCAGAGCTTCCCTAACCACCGTGGTTTTCAGATGTCTCTCAGCACTGGGATCCCACACAGGATCAGTTGCTGTTCGGCTCAGGTAGGTTGCATGGACCAACAGTCACCTCACAGAGACGCCAACATCCAGCCAGCCAGGGTGAGATCTGCAGCAGCACGCAGGCTGCGCTGCTCCTTCCTGCCCAGCTGCGCTGTGAGCTGTGGCTCATGCGTGGTACCCTACCCTTGCTGTCTCAGAGACGGCGGTTCTGGCCCTCGGCAGTGCTGCTGAGAGGAGTATGACAGGGACACGGGTGTCACCATGTCAGAAAGAGCACTGGCCATTAAACCCGGGGCTGGGGATCCAACAGTTTCTGATGGGGGGAGGCAGCCCAGCAGATGGGCAGGCAGGTCAGCTGTGCCAAGCCCAAGGCTCAAAGGATACCATCTTGTTGTAGTCTTCGAGGAGTGTCTTGACACTGTCAGTTAGATCATGACGCTGTTCCTGAGAAGAGGGGAGCCACAGTAAGTGAGCAGTAAGTGAGTTGAAGGATCTCAGTCCTCCCCCTGACAGCACAGGTGAGTACTGAGATTAGAGCTAAGACCCTGGCTGTGGCCACTCATGCAAGCTGCAAGGGGTTCAGCAGACAAGAGGAAGTTACAAACATCCATACTGGCAAAGAACCCAAGCCCCTGGGCTTGCACTGCTGCCTGACTCTCCTCAGAATCCATTCTTTGATTGCTCCACAATGGAAACCCAGCAAAATGCTGAAAGGGGGCACTGCCCAGGCTAGTCACTGCCAGCTCCAGGAGCACTCAAACAGGGAAGGGTAAAATGACAAGGTGACAGTATCAACAGCCTTCCAGAAACCAGGACACTGGAGAAGTGCAGTGTTTCACAGTGTCCCAGTGAAAAAGGGAATGCCAGCTGGTTAAGCCCACTGCTGATTATTAAGTGTCATTCAAACCTCTGTTTTGAGCAGAAATCCTGGCTATTTCCCCTGCAACGTACTTACACATGAGCAGTTCAAGCAACTGCAAATACAGAAGTGTCAGTACAGCCACTGACAAATGATTTTTCCTCCCTACTAGCCAAGACTGTCAAGAATATTCACACTACCTGCTGCTGTATGTGGATTTGAGAGAGTCGCTGTAGTTTGGCTGCATGGTCAGGAGCTGCTGAAAGCACAGAAGAGAAATCCATTTTATTTGTTTTCCAAAATAGACGATTCCTTCTCCAATGAGCACATCACAGCAGAACTCCACTCACTGAATGCAAGTGCCACACACCACAAACATACCTTTTATATGATAAGAAAAAAACAACCCTAGCTACCCTGTACATTAAATACCAAGTTTATCTGCTAACTGCTTCTGGATGGCATGAGTTAGGGGAAGCCTGCAGTGACCATTAGTCAAGAACTACAATCAGAGTAAACTACCTGGATGAATGTTATGGCAAGCAATTACAAAGGCACCTCCACCTGTGCCAAGAGCAGGGATATTCTGGCCATAAAAAGAGCTCATAGGCAGGAATGACCTGTCAGTCTTCACTCTCTCTGCCAAGCTGCTGTCTCTAACCTTCTTTCTGATCTACTCTGTCACCTCCCTGACCTTACACGGGACATCAGAGCAGCATGAGGGAGCAGCAGACATACCACTAAATTTGTACCTACTTTACTTACACTGGGTTGTGTGCTTAGCTGTCCTCTCCTCTAGTCTGAGGCTCAGGAAAAAAAAAAAAAAAAAAAA